TTAATATTACACAATCAAGTTCTTTACAACATGATGAATATGCAAATTATATTCCTACAAAAGATGCTAAATCAAATTATGTTACAAAATTATGAATCTATAACTTTTAGCTTTAGAGATAGAATTCATAATAAGTAAAATTCGACTTTGAATAAAAACTCAAAATTCATTTTAATCTGATTTCATTTTGATCCATGACAATAACTATTCAAACTTTATTATGTTTTGGCATGTCATTATAGGCATCTCAATTATTTTTTAAAAATCCTAATTCGTTATACCTGATCTTGTATTGATTCGTCAATCAAGAGACATGCAAGCATCAGGTAAATTAACGTTAATAAATCGATATCGACATTTTTCACTGTCGATGGGTAAATGCTACTACTATTGCACTGATTTTAGGTAGAGCACTCACAAAATTGTTCCTCCCTTGTATTTTCGACCAGTCAAAACTTAATATCAGGAGTAACGTGACAGTCAAACCAAACATTTTATTAAATAAAATAAGTTTCGTGCAAGATTAAAGCTAATAAACCACGTTATGGTTAGAGTTAGGTTAGAACAATGTAAGGGCTATAGTAAAATTTTCACGAGGAACATTTTTTATTTAGGCCGCAGAAGGTGTTTCCTAATTAAAACTTAAAGCTATTCTTGTTTTTTTTTTTTGTAAAAAAGTGATTTCATTTCGAAATTCGATTGGTCAAAATTACATGAAATGAGGTGCTGCATACTAGACACGTTCGACACGTGATCGGGTAAAAAACTATTAAAACTATTATGCTTCGTTTCACAATTTTCTGGTATATTACGTGTACTATTCAAACTGTCAGGTGTTAGAATGAATGATAAATGTTGCCATCGCCGACCAAAGGTGAAATCCTAATCAATGTAATTACGCCTGCTTCAATACCAATAGGTCTGTTAATGGAGTATTATTCTCCAAAGTAATTTAGGAGTATAAATCACTCCATGCCGGTGTGGTTTATATGCTACACCACTCCAGATTGCTATAGGAATCAATAGAGTGATTTATACTCCAGAGCTCTACCAATACTACCCAGATTTAAAATATAAATAATTTTATCAGTTATATATTAAACAAAGAATTTTGTTAAGACAATCAGTATTATACGTAGCAAATAAATTTGTTCTAGATATCAAATTCTAAACTATAATTAGCAGGCCGTTTTAAATATATTATAAAATTAACTGGAGTAACATACACCGAGTAAAATCATAGAGTTTTAATCTGGAGTAATGGCTCTGGTGTGGTTTGATTTTGATGGTTACTCTGGCAGTGTATACACCGTAACACTCTGAATCACTTCGTTAACAGCCCTAAAGACCAATTCAAATAAACATTCCATTTTTATGACAGCCTAGCTGACTTCCTTTATCTGGAGGCGCAGAGGAACTAGTAGGCATGGAACTAGTGGTATCTGGAATCTTTCCATTTATATAATGAAAAGAAAAAAAGATAATTAGTACAGAGCAAAGTGAAGGATGTTTATCAACCAATCAAGTGGTGCATGTTATCCACTAGAGATGCTGAATGGTGATTTTTACAACTCCAATTCTATTTTACTAGCACCTCTATTACTACACTTTGCTGTAACCATAGTTTAAAAAGGGTACAAAGACGACTGACAGGTAAGCCAGCCGCAGATTCAGGATGAGTTTTAAAGTAATCAACAAAAATATTTAAAATAGCTTTATTACAGTCGTTACAAGTAATATCAGTGGGAGTAGTAGTAACCAAATCCACTAAGAAAACCGAATATCATAGAACTATCAGAATCTGTATAACAATATCCGTTCTTGAAACACAAAAGATTTCTCTATTGGGGATTGGAAATAAGAATATCTTTTAAAGATCAGGAATTGACGCGATAAGTTCTTGTTGGCATAGACTTTTAAGTTCGCTAGCAGACGTACTTCGTACAGAACAATAACCATCTAAGACTGGTTTGGATCGGATGCATTTTGAAATTGCAATAGCCAGGTGCGTTATTTTGAATAATGGCCCGAATTAAGCTTAATTTAGGCCAAATTTCGAAATTACACCCCTGCGCGTCATTTCGCGCTTATACGCCCGATTTTTAAATAAGACATGTGTTCAGATGTGCCCATTCGGGTTCATTTGAACCAACTTCGGGTTCAAACGTGCCCATTTCGAGTCCAATCTGAGCCTATTTCGGGGTCATTTTACCAACCAGGGTTTAAATAAACCTAACTGCTAACTTTGGTTCATTTTGAATCAGATGAATCCAGTCCGGGTTCAAATAATAAAAATTCTATAATTTAATTGGTTCATTAAGAATAGTCAATCATATGATATTTCTCAAACCTGATAACCTTTCAAAAATCAATAACATATCGGCGGGTTTGTGGAATTTGAGCCGTAACTCTGGCCAAGTTTGCAGATCATTTGGCCAGCTTTGAAGTCAACTAATTTCAAACCAGGCCAAATGATCTGCAAATTTAACCAGAGTTACGGCTCAAATTCCACAAATCCGCCGATATGCCAGTTTTGACGGTCTACTTTGGATTCTCATAGTCAATAATTATATCCAGTGATGATCTCTCAAATTACTTTCAAAGGTTTTTCCAGAAATTCGTAATTCACCTTTTCAAATTTCCAAATACATATTCGAACATACTACGTATTACTATGTATGTCATATCATATAGATTAAATCAACGTCTTTTTAAGGCATGTCAATAATAAAATGGATCAAATGATCGAAACAATGTTTTGTGTTAGCGTTTAAACTAGTGTTAGAAGTTAATAACCGACTATATAAGGGAAAATTTGTCATCGGGCTTTCAATTATATTTTGTATATACCGACAAAATCTATTTGATTTCTTAGGGAATATGTCCGGTACAAAATATAATTGAAAGCACTCATATAGTAAATTGTCAAGAAATTTTTTGTTCTATTCATATTACATTATATACAGTAACATTTTGTTCAATGCCTTACTATGTATTAACAGCCTATAAAATAAATCAATTATTTTATGGTATTTTTTACGTGATTAAATTATTTGATCTTATTTCATAAGCTGAAATAGTAAACTCATTGAATAAAACTGTTATTACATAATCTGTATTTTATGTCCTCTTCTGATCGTCCAGCAATTATCATTATCATACTTCGTATGCATAATACGTATACTATATAATGTACAAATAAAGGTTGTATAATTTTTTTTAAAAAAAAATTTTTAACGTTTTTACGTATTCATACTTTTTCACAGGTTTTTACATAAGCTAACTACTGCTAACTTTGAATTAAAAAGTATATACGTAGAGTATATATCTATCGACATTAAAATTTACCAATTTTGTTATTGGCTAATTATTTGTTATTTGATTGGATCAGAGGTCATAATATTAATATTATGTATTATATATATATTAATATTTATGGTTTTATTATATAGATAACCGGCCGGTTATAAAGATTATATTTATAGAACGCAAATTTTTGTAATAAGATCAAAAAGGGTATATACAATATATATAGTTATATTCAAATTGCCCATAAATTCTCAAAAAGCGAGCAATGGGCGTTATTTCGAAAATCGCGCACCTTAAAAAGTTAGTTTCTCCTGAGGCCCCGAAATAACTCTACGAATTTATAGTAGCAACCTGGCCTTCGAAATTGAAATAACACAAATGGATATATTCAAAATAACGCACCTATGCCATCATTTTGATATGGATAAAATTTGGTTTTTTTTTTGAAGAGTTGACCACATTGCCAGAAACAGAAACATGAAAAATTAAAGGCATGCAATAAATTTTGAGCGCATAGAAGCAAATAATTTAACGTGATTTGTGGTTTAGACGCCAAAAAATATTATCGTTATCAAGTCTGTTACACAATGCTTGACTAGACAATATTTGAGGTTGTACGTTAAATATTTGGTCACATATATCATGTGAACACAATTTGGTTAAAAATAGCGATAGAATGAAAATCTAATTTGTAAAGTTTATAAATAAATAACATTTTGGCGCGATACTTGTAAGAAAATTAAAAAAAGCCTTACAAGGAGAAGATCAGAGTTTAGTATGTTTCCTTTTATAATACGTAACGATGGTAGAATTTTCTTACTTAAACAATGCATTAATAATAGAGCAAAACAGCAACGTAAATTTTAATTTTAACAATTTAGTTATAATAATACCTACCAATAATAAATTAGTGAATGTGATATTGCATAAAATATAGTATTTATAATTCAGTTGACGATTGCTTTGCCCAAATTCAGAGCTAAAGAAACTCTGTAAAAAA